GCATTATGACATAATGTAAAAACAAATCTGTGCTATGAATTAAAAAGAATTGTTAGATATAATGTATTTGTATATATAAATTCGCACATATGAGTAATACTGTAATTGAGCGTCTTTGCGTTTAGTCACAAATCATATCTGTTATACGAATATAAGACATGTAACATTGGCATTTTGTAGACAATCTGTGACATATTCTCTCTTCGATTCATCAAAATTAATTAAGAGAATACATACATTTTTTCTTGTATATGCTACTTTTGCACAAGACACAGAATCGTGCGTTTGATCTTAATTAATCTATCAATGAATTATCTTAAAACATGTATAAGATATGGATATTATTATGAACATATAGATTATCACACACTTGCATTGGGTAGATAATTTAAATGTAACTAAGGATATGAAATGAATATAAATTTGCAGCTAATGTTACATGTTCATGCGTGTACATAAAGTTGCGCGTATAGATGTAATGTAGACTATGACTTTCATTACTTCTTTTTCTAGCATAGATGTATTCAGTAGTCACGTGTTAACCCATTATCGACTAAGAACACGAGAGGTCTGTTCTTTTTCAGCTGCACTGGAACTTTGCTCTTTTCCACTTCGCTCAGTTATACATTTGTTTCACTCTCAATGCAAAGTGTTTCACTCAATGCAAAATGTGCGACCTAGTTTAGCTGAAAAAAACAGACCTAATAATATTATATGACAGTTGATAGTGGGAGTGTAGCTTTCAGCTTTGTACATCAATTTCTATCATAGTAATAATGTTTGTCTTATATGTGTTTAGTATACTACTAAACAATAATTGCAAAGAAGATTCATTTAACAAGATTAGCTTAGCAAGATTACACTTACGTAATTATATTAGGACAGTTTTTTAAATAAAACTGTATTATACTGCGCCAGAAAATGTTGTACATAACAAAATTTTTATTTTTTATAAATGTGTGGAGAGACAGTGGATTGTAAATAAAATCTGTTTATAGTAGATATAATTATATATAAGTGTATGTAGTAAAACCTGATATACGTCAACAATGTTATTTTATTTCTCATTTTATTAATATTAACAAAAATGACGTACCAACTTATTAACTACAATTGTCAAATCAGTTCTCAGTGATTCTCGCAATTATTGTAAATTTAATTATGGTATTGGATACAGCTTTATGATAGTATAATGACACGCATGCATACTTATCACTGGAGGAAGTTGTGGGTGTTCAAGTTGAACTACCTCTGTTAATATGGATATAGATTATTGTATCAAAGCACATGACATTGTACCAAGCTATTATATGTTTTCTTATGTTTATATTTTACACTTGAACATAAAAAATATTATCCTTACATTATATAAAACAATATGTATTTCAATAAGCAGGTAAGGGTTGCTGTGTCAAAAGTAGCTTGAATCGTTTCTTTACTGTAATCCTTTCTCTTGAATATTTGTCCTCTGGAGAAAATCGGGCTGCAATATTGAACATTCATATTTTTTCTTTAATATGAGTATATTATTTAGATTAAAATAAGTATAAGATATATGTATATAGTGAAACTACAACTATTATCCTCTCAATGAGTTACCTGGATGTGCCGATAATGTAGGTTTTCCATCAGGACCCAGTTTCTGTAAATTAAATATACAAGAAAAATATTAATATATATACAAAAGTATCAAACACTAGAAAAAATACAGAATGAAGAAATACAGAAAAATCTTGGAATAATACATGGAACAACAATATATATGATACATATGAACAGGATCTTTACAGTTCAAGAGAACATAATAGAGAAATAGATTGATAATATATTTTATCACATAGTGACTTGATATTTCAGGCAATAATTACCTTTAAAGTGTATACTCGATTTCCGTTGTCGTCCAAATAATACATAAGATACATTTTGTGTTTCTTGTCTTTTGGCTTTTCTAACCTAATTTACAAGCACGTGTATCGTGATGATGATGAACGAACTGAAAAATTCACTCCACGTATATCGCTGTGTAATCTATTGGAACTTCTTCGATTAACCTTGCAACAGATAATCTTATACGATTAGTATGAATTTCCGTTATACGGCGTTTACTTAGAAACGCGCTTGAAAACTTCGTTTACTTACTTGTTTAGAGCGAGCGACTGTTTGAAGCTCAAAATCACCTTCCATACGCCATCTTCCGGTTGACATTCGGTTGTGTTATGTGCCATTGGCTGTTCGAATTATAGAATTATGTGTACTATGAGGTATGCGAGATTAGATTTGAGGCTTATTCTTTTTAACTGAATTAATACAATATTGGAACTTCGTTTCTTTTCCCTTCAACGTTAGGATTTATATATTTGTTTTACTCTAACTACACAAAGTGCAGCTTAGTTCAATTAAAAAGAATAAATTTTCCGTACTATAAGATATAGACCACTTTTTGTTTAGATTTTCTATTTACAGAAAGGACCCAGACAGCACAAGTGTCCAAAATTGAGACATGAAACGTCTTTTAGATGACTTCAAGTCGTGCTTAAGATGGGACATCTTATGTAAGAAAACCACAGTAACATCAAAACGACATCAAAATGGTGAAAGAAAGTGATAATCGAAAAGTAAGTTATTGTAGTTATTTTCTCATCATTTAATGTCACCATGATTTTCTATTTTACATGGGCCATTTATATACTTGTAGTTAAGTCAATGTAAACAAAAAAAGTCTCCTACCATTTTGGGAATAAGCGAAATTTCGAGTAATTAATTACTGAAAATACTGAAAATACTCGAAAATACTTTCGAGTAATTAATTACTGAAATACGGAGGTTTCCCCGGCGAGAAATGTACATCGCGAATCGACGTGAAACCGAAACAATCGAAATTACATCAAATCGACGTCGATTCGATGAATCGTTATTCACTGGATCTATCATCAATAATTAAAAATAACCACGCAAATGTCCGAGTTATTAATTAATTTCATCTCCGTACGTGGCTATTTTCAATCATTAATAAATTAAAATGTTGCGATCGCTCGCAAAATGGCAGAGAACTTTTTCGTTCACATTTACCTAAACTACATATACACATGACGAATATCTCACTCAGCGACGGACCGGTGTAACAATGTTTTCAGTACACTCTATAAATGTACAGGTATATTCGCGTAACGTAATATTTATAGAACATTCATTGAATATTCCTGTGCTATCTAGGTGGGAAGTCTCTCTCTGCCAAGGTGACGATCTATATTGCGAAATTATTTCTCAACGACAGGCTCCGTCATGAGAAGACTGCTCGACAGGTTGCCGATCGCACGCGTAGGCGTAGACGATGTTCGCCGGAGATGATTAGCCGCAGGGATTCCCGCTGCGAGGGATGTGCGCACCCGCGCATTAGCACCGGCGGCAAATCCGCCGCGTGTAGGCGTATTACTGACGATTCCTCCTCCTGACGAAGTCGACGACGACTCGGACAACACGCATGCACGCGGTCGGACACAACGAGAGTCATCCGGACGACCGGGGTCTGTCACTTCCGTTGACAGACAAATCACTGTCTGTGCTCGTCCGCCGGCGTGGCCTCGCGTCGTCCGTGGCGACGTTCCGCGACGTGCGCGATGCGAAAAACGCGTGTGTCTTCTTTTTTCTTTTTCGTTAATAACGCACCGAGCAGATCTTCTCGAGGTAAACACAGGTCCGTAGGTGTGCTTTCGATCGAATCGCGAATCGAAGTGCGCGTTTATGTGCGTCGTTCTCGTCGTCGCTCGCGAAACTCAGGCGCTTCGCGTGCCCAGATGGAACGGAAAATCACGATGACATTGAAATGACGTTAAAATGACGTTCGAATGACGAGGAGATGAGTGTAAAAACTTACTTTCCGATCGTTCCCTCATCATTTCCACGTCTTTGTTATTTTCTATTCAATCTCGGCCTCACGATATCGCGGTTGCGATGAATTATTGCGAGATGTGTGAATTACGTGATGTCGGATCGTACAAGGAAAAACGGTCATCCTGTCATTCACTGCTCGACGGTTATAACTGTGTTCCCGTCAATAATTGTACGACAGAACGCGCATAATCGTTCGCAATCTACGCGAATCTCTCTCTTTTTCTCTCGTATATCCGCACATGTAGATTCGCGCGGTCAATAAATCACAAGTGGCCGACGCGTATTTTACAATTGCTTTCAATCGATGGACAGGCCGGAGCGATTGATCGTTAGCAGCGAAAGTGCTCTTTACATTAATTATACGAGGAAACTATTTACATGCCCGTACAACCAAGTTCCCTCGACTGTCAGTATGCAGCGCTTCATCGAGAATAAAAATAATAGACTTTCGTGTAAATATACGCGGTGATGAAAAGTGTTTAAATAATAACACGAGCGCGAAAAAAGTCGAGGAACCCAGGGAACAGGCTATTACATGACGTATCGTATAAACTTGAGGGCCACGTTTCTGATGTAAATTGAAATGGCAGGTCTCTTACAAAAAATATACGTCCGATTCGTAACGGTTATTCGTCTACAGGTGTTTAAAAATTATAAATGACCGCACAATTTTGATTAAAAACGGAAGATAAATAAGAAAATATAAGGTTACATAAATTATTCAAATTGATGTCTCTCGGTTCAATGTTTGGGGATATTTTTTTATTAAAAATGGAAGATAAGAAGGAAAATATAAAGATTGAATAAGTTATTCAAACTGACGTCCTTCGGCATTAATACACAGTACGGTGCGATTTAAAATGGATTGAATAGGCGCACGAAGATCATCGTAATTGCTCCTTATTTATTTACACGCGTCATTAATATGCTGTATTAATTCAGCACGAGTATTAACTTTTTTTCCGTATACTAAACTCTTAACCTTTATATTCTCTCCCTTATATTTTCCATTTTTAGTGAAAAAATATTCTAAAAAATAATATCATCATTTATAAATTATTTAATGCCCATTGGCTTTTTTACAATTACCCGATGGGCTTTTAGATATAATTTATACAGAGTATTCTACCATAGCTAATTAATCTGTCTTTTTTTTCGTGTTTGTATTCAGATTTTTTTATTTCTGCACAATTCCTACGTCTTATAATTCGCCTCGTACACCAAAGGTTTTATTCCCGTTAATTAAATAAATAAATAAAAAATCAATAAACTTTAAACACTTGTGGAACAATAATTGTTTCAAATTGAATTCCATATTTGTAAGACATTTTCTCTACTTTAATTGACGAGTTTCCAACATTCTTCTTCACTAATTTATTCGAAATTTAATAAGGAATCGAAATATCTAAGAATTATTGTCGTAACTGATTGAGAAGTACATGTAATCTCCAATCGTTTATGATCGCGTCAGCTGCGGCGCCGCGCATAGGGGGTAAACATATGATCGTTGTTAATTATTTACCTATTGCGAGTTACCAACATTTTTCTTCACTCATTTATTCGAAATTTAATAAGGAATCGAAATATCTGAGCATTATTGTCGTAACTGATTGAGAAGTACATGTAATCTCCAATCGTTTATGATTGCGTCCGCTGCGGAGTCGCGCGTAGAGAAAAAACATATGATCGTTGTTAATTATTTACCTATTGCGAGTTAGCATCATTTTTCTTCACTCATTTATTCGAAATTAATAAGAAATCGAAATATCTAAGCATTATTGTCGTAACTGATTGGGAAGTACATGTAATCTCCAATCGTTTATGATCACCTCCGCTGCGGCGCTGCGCGTAGAGGGTAAACATATGATCGTTGTTATTATTTACGTATTGCGAGTTACCAACATTTTTCTTCACTCATTTATTCGNATATGTTCGTTGATATTATTTACCTTATTGCGAGTAACCAACATTTTTCTTCACTCATTTATTCGAAATTTAATAAGGAATCGAAATATCTAAGCATTATTGTCGTAACTGATTGAGAAGTACATGTAATCTCCAATCGTTTATGATCGCGTCCGCTGCGGCGCGGCGCGTAGAGGGTAAACATATGATCGTTGTTAATTATTTACCTATTGCGAGTTACCAACATTTTTCTTCACTCATTTATTCGAAATTTAATAAGGAATCGAAATATCTAAGCATTATTGTCGTAACTGATTGAGAAGTACATGTAATATCCAATCGTTTATGATCGCCTCCTCTGCGGCGCGGCGCGTAGAAGGTAAACATACTTATACTCCTCTCATTACTTATATTCCTTTCATTATTTTTTTTTTCAAAATATAGCGAGTAAATCTATATTTACAGTATCTCTGAATGATAATAAATCAGAGAGATAGATAATATGCTATATTTTGTTANATTATTATCGTAACTGATTCAGAAGTACATGTAATCTCCAATCGTTTATGATCGCGTCCGCTGCGGCGCGGCGCGTAGAGGGTAAACATATGATCGTTGTTAATTATTTACCTATTGCGAGTTACCAACATTTTTTTTCCTCATTTATTCGAAATTTAATAAGGAATCGAAATATCTAATAATTATTGTCGTAACTGATTGAGAAGTACATGTAATCTCCAATCGTTTATGATTGCGTCAGCTGCGGCGCCGCGCATAGGGGGTAAACATATGATCGTTGTTAATTATTTACCTATTGCGAAATACCAACATTTTTCTCCACTCATTTATTCGAAATTTAATAAGGAATCGAAATATCTAAGCATTATTGTCGTAACTGATTGAGAAGTACATGTAATCTCCAATCGTTTATGATTGCGTCCGCTGCGGAGTCGCGCGTAGAGAAAAAACATATGATCGTTGTTAATTATTTACCTATTGCGAGTTAGCATCATTTTTCTTCACTCATTTATTCGAAATTAATAAGAAATCGAAATATCTAAGCATTATTGTCGTAACTGATTGGGAAGTACATGTAATCTCCAATCGTTTATGATCACCTCCGCTGCGGCGCTGCGCGTAGAGGGTAAACATATGATCGTTGTTATTATTTACGTATTGCGAGTTACCAACATTTTTCTTCACTCATTTATTCGTAATTTAATAAGGAATCGAAATATCTAAGCATTATTGTCGTAACTGATTGAGAAGTACATGTAATATCCAATCGTTTATGATCGCCTCCTCTGCGGCGCGGCGCGTAGAAGGTAAACATACTTATACTCCTCTCATTACTTATATTCCTTTCATTATTTTTTTTTTCAAAATATAGCGAGTAAATCTATATTTACAGTATCTCTGAATGATAATAAATCAGAGAGATAGATAATATGCTATATTTTGTTAATAACATGAGTTTTTAATTGGGATCTAAATGTCCGTTTATTTAAAAGAAGAAAATAAGGTGACTATTCCCAGGTTAAGAGTATGGTATCCCCGAAAAGTGTAAGAGGTATCGCGCCAGAGTTTATGTGCCGTTTTGAATTTTAAAATTCTGATTTCAGATTCGTAATCAGCGACCTCGATGATACTCAAATACCAGGTTTCGAAAAATTCAAACATCGAGAAATAAAATGTACGACTCAAAGAGTTAAACACGTTGGACACGCTTACAAAAGCATACTCGAAATTNTATCATTTATGATCTCCTCCGCTGCGGCGCCGCGCGTAGTGGGTAAACATATGATCGTTGTTAATAGTTTACCTATTGCGAGTTAGCAACATTTTTCTTCACTCATTTATTCGAAATTTAATAAGAAATCGAAATATCTAAGCATTATTGTCGTAACTGATTGGGAAGTACATGTAATCTCCAATCGTTTATGATCACCTCCGCTGCGGCGCTGCGCGTAGAGGGTAAACATATGATCGTTGTTATTATTTACGTATTGCGAGTTACCAACATTTTTCTTCACTCATTTATTCGTAATTTAATAAGGAATCGAAATATCTAAGCATTATTGTCGTAACTGATTGAGAAGTACATGTAATATCCAATCGTTTATGATCGCCTCCTCTGCGGCGCGGCGCGTAGAAGGTAAACATACTTATACTCCTCTCATTACTTATATTCCTTTCATTATTTTTTTTTTCAAAATATAGCGAGTAAATCTATATTTACAGTATCTCTGAATGATAATAAATCAGAGAGATAGATAATATGCTATATTTTGTTAATAACATGAGTTTTTAATTGGGATCTAAATGTCCGTTTATTTAAAAGAAGAAAATAAGGTGACTATTCCCAGGTTAAGAGTATGGTATCCCCGAAAAGTGTAAGAGGTATCGCGCCAGAGTTTATGTGCCGTTTTGAATTTTAAAATTCTGATTTCAGATTCGTAATCAGCGACCTCGATGATACTCAAATACCAGGTTTCGAAAAATTCAAACATCGAGAAATAAAATGTACGACTCAAAGAGTTAAACACGTTGGACACGCTTACAAAAGCATACTCGAAATTACTCGGCCGTTGTTCGTGCTAATAAACCGTGCCCGGCGGCGGCGGTCATACGAACACGTCTTTATCCTCTGAAGCGATACAACACCGCAATTATGAAGGTAGATGGCTCGCGCGCGAGAGAGAGATAGATAGAGAGAGGGAGAGAGAGATAGATAGAGAGAGGGAGAGAGAGAGAGGGAGTGAGAGAGGGAGAGAGAGGGAGAGAGAGTGTGGGAGAGAGAGAGGGTGAGAGAGAGAGAGAGAGAGGGAGAGAGAGAAGGAGAGAGTGAGAAAGAGAGAGAAAGAGAGAGAGAGAGCAGGAAAAGAATCCGGAATATCCCTCTCTTCCGTTGACCGATAACCGAGGTCGCCTCACGACTCAGCCGCTCCGGGAGATATTCCAATGGCTATGTTAGGCATCTTCTGGAATTATCGGNGTAACTGATTGAGAAATACATTTAATCTTCAATCGTTTATTATCGCCTCCGCTGCGGCGCCGCGCGTCGAGGGTAAACATATGATCGTTGTTAATTATTTGCATATTGCGAGTTAACAACATTTTTCTTCACTCATTTATTCGAAATTTAATAGGAAATCGAAATATCTAAGCATTATTGTCGTAACTGATTGAGAAGTACATGTAANTTCGGAAGTCTCGAGTGGCCTGGAAATCCCGGAAATCAACTATATAAAATGGTCAGGAACTGATAGCATATTCATAGAGGAATGTTGCTGGTTTGCATTCAAACACATAAATTTTAATCTTACACCGGTGAAGTTGAAAACCCAAAAACGAAACTGCATGTCGATTATTATGCTTTTCTTCTACATAAACGAGACTTTTATGATTTTCCGGGACTTTCGAGAATTCTCATAGTTTTAAGCAATGTTCGAAGTAATATTCGTATCTATGTGAAAATTGAATTACCGGGAAATTTTCGAGAATAGCGATTCGACCACGTATCACCAGACGTTTCCATATGTTTCCGTATGCGAGACGCCGGAGAAAGGAGGACGACGGATCGAGAAAGATCGCGCGCGGTCCTGCAGCAACTTACGACGCTATGAGTTTGCGGATACCGGGACTTAATTAAACGGGATTTAAGTGTCGGAGAACACGCGGAACATCCCGACGAAAGATTTTCTTTCCCCACCCTCTCTCTCTATCTACCTTTCGTCGATATAAAAAGGAAGAGCGAAATTCCCCTCCCCTGCTTCCTCTCACCCTCTCGCTCGTTCACTCAATATTTCTCTCTTAAATACCGAAGCAGCCACTGAAATTAGCACCTTGGCAGATCCGAGAAAGGATGCTCGTGCTGAGTATCTGTACAAGGTGATTCGGGAAGAAGTACAATCCTCTCTCGTTGTCGAACGAAGAACGAACGGTTCCGTGAGATCAATTTTACGTTGACATACGTACTTGGCTTTTACCCGCATCACTCGCGACGACTGAAACTCGGATCACAAGGTCGAACTCAGAATCAACTGCAGAATCTCTAGATATATTTGCGTATGTTTTGCTCCCGGGCTGCTCGAGTATTTTCGCGACGTGCTAACGTCGTGTCGTGTTTTACCGCACTTCGTTTATATCGCGGAAGCTCAACCGTGCAGGGAATGCAAAGGCTACGAGTATTATTTCATATTTAACTATGGAGATTACATGTACTTCTCAATCAGTTACG